CGGAAAGTCAAACACATGCATACTTACGGAGCTGCCCGAGTCGAGCTTTTTCTTTTTTACCAAACAAACGTCCTATTGAAGACTTGATTCCTTTCTTCTTGGGAGCTTTGTGAAGAGAGTCTTGGCTGCTGTTGGCACTGCCAAGCCCAAGGCTTTCTGGCTCAAGGGAGGCAGACAAACTATTGCAAAACACAAAAGAGGGCAAACTGCTCGTTTGGATGTGACATCCACAAGGTGCACCAGGCTTGTTTCCTTTATAAAGATGTGACAGGAGCAACAAGTGGATTTGAAAGTTATTTTTTCCCTTTCCACTCATATTTCCTTGTAAGCCTATTAAAGTGTGGTTCCCTGAGCCTCAGGGCCCAGAGCCTGCAAATTTTCTCTAGGGAAATTTCTTTTTTTTCCATATGATTTTTCCTCCTATTTTTCATATAATCTCAAACTAATCAATAATCACAGGTTGGTTTATTAACTACACATTAAATAACCGTCTGTTATTTAGCACTTGACCCTTTAATTCTCAGAGTTTGCCTTTAAAATCTCAAACATAATGACCTATGATAAGAAATTTAAATATAATTAATAATGAACTTTAAATTCATATTCTAGCCTATGATTTTACTGGGTTTTCCTCTAGCCATTTTTCTCTCTCTGTTTTGGAGCCTAATTCATTTAATTTTAAGTCATCTGGGTGGGATTTAGAAGCAACAAATTGTATACCCTAGTGATCACTGTATACTTTTTTCTTGTAATTCTCATTCTTTTAGGTACATGATAAGCTGAAATGACTTCCAAGCAGTTGGCCTATATTCCATTACTGTTCAATGTATTTGACACTGTATTAATAGAGTGATTCAATAGACATTGGTATATATTTTTCTACAGCTGTTAAATTGACAATATCATGATGAATTATTTTACTTATTCATCCTAATTAATCTGAGTTCACATTCTCTAAAGTTGAAAAGCAATTGCTTTTCATATGTTACAGTGTAATTCACTCTTTTTTGGGGGAGCAAAGGAAGAATATATTGTGAAGTGCAGGAGTAAATTTATTTTTATATCCGAAATGTAAAATAAAATAGAAACAAATGCCTGACAGCAGAGAAAGGTGTTTTCAAAAATACTTGTTGTAAAACACATACTATTTAGAGAACAGATTCTTACTTAAAGTATTAATCATTGTCATTATGTTCATTATATCAATGTGTCCAGAGGTGCTGCAACTAATGACAGTAAAAGGACATACATTTAAGATGGAAACTGCATACTTGGATTTATTTTAATCATTAATTATTATAGAGATCTGCTTGCAATATTTCAGGTAGATGGAAAAGACAGTATGAAANCCCCAGAGTGTGTATAAACTCCTGGGCACTCAGGAGGTGCAGCCTGGTGGCTTTGCCCACGGAGCACTGGATGATGGGTCAGGAGAGCCTGTGCACAGGAGGCTGGGGACCCAGGGTTCCAAAGCCTGCAGGTGAGTGGAGCCTGGAGTGGCTGGGCCATGCATCATGGACTCTGCGGTACCTGCCTCAGCAGCCAACGACTATGATCATATGACCACCCTGAACTACCACTTCTCATCTCAGAAACCCTCCTCTGTCACCTTTAATCATCAGGTAGTTTTTTGTGATAAACTTTATTTAGTTATTTTATAAAAGCAATTAACTGCGACAATGGTAATAGCTACAATAGCGTGTAACAATGGTAATTTTTATTATCGCTATAAACCTCTGGAGTTTTTTTTCCTCATTAACTTGCATACTGTAATAAATAAATTCTAAAACTGTCAAAAATAAATAAATAGTTCTACTTTTTTGTATATTCTGCTCACATTAGGTAAACCTTCATTTTATTCAAAATTTAAAGTTACTAAACAACAAAAAAATAAGGATTTTATAATTCTCCTTTTAGTCTGGGCAGTTATAAGTTTTTCTAGTTATCAATTTATTTTGGTTGGTGGCCTTTCTGACATCGTTCTTATACATCTATGGCATGCACTTATATTTATCATTTGTTATAGATATAACTGTTGACCAAAATCTTTAAAAATCTACTTTTAGAAAGGGATCTGTTTCAGATATAATCCTTTTTCTTTTTTCACATCATCATAAATACAATTGTGAGTGTATTACCATCGTCTTGATTTGCTTTGATAATATTTAGCCTTTATTATTCTAACCAATCTTCCATATTAAACAAGCTAAGACTAAACTTGTTTCTAGAATTTTAACAGTAGTTTGTGTGAAAGTCAGGTTGTGGTAGGTTGTAAAAAGATAGGCAGATGGGGAAATAAAAATACTAGTTTAGTTTAGATNTCAGTTTTAACATCTCTATCTCTCCCCCACACTCTACCACCATTTTCCTAAACAAGTAGGCAGCCTCTGTGGTGTGGTCCTTGGCTGCTCTAACTCCTAGCTTCTGCTGGGATACTTACTTCACCATGGATCTTAGATCATTTCATTCATGGGCTTGTCTCTGCTTCAAGTCGCTGCCCCTGACCTCTGCATTTCCAGTCTCTCTACAGCTAGGTAACTTGACCCTCAGTTCTGGTCATTTATTTTCTTTGCTTGATAATTTATTTTCATGCTCCTGACCCCAGCCAATATCCACTTTCTAACCAACCATAGAAAAGACCCAAGTTCCTTTCCATTACATTCTCCTTAGAGTTTGTTCTTTCATGTGGCATCAGTACCCTTTTCTCAGGGATAAGTTCAATTTGAAACTCTAACTTTATACCTTTTTAATTTTGTAGGAAAGGTGCACTTAGATGTTCCTAGTAGAATCAAATATATCCTGTAAGAGAAATAGTAATAATCTGAACTTCTCAATGACATTATGTCTGTATCCTTTATAAGAAAACTTGTAATGTATTTTGTGATTTTTTTTACTGTTGCCTTGTTCTTTACTTTTTCGTGCATTTATGTGTAATATCCTAAAAAAGTTATAAGTTTTATGAAATAAATAATCATGTTTTTAATTTCATTAAGTTACCAAGTTTACTCCACAGGATCTGGAGCGCAATGATTTGTTTTTGATTGAAATAGTGCCACGAGTATATTGCCTGGAGCACCAGACCAGGAAGTGATGGCTGGGAACCAATACCAGCTCTCCTCCAAGCAGCTGCTTTGCCTTGATGATTATTAAAATCATCTCAATTTATATATAGTATATAGCATGTGGGCCATTACAGGGTCTTGAGATATCTTCTTATTCTAGAAGTCTGTAATTATAAAAATACGAATGCATTTTTATAGTAAATAACTTATGGTATATATTTTGTAAATAAAATGTTGTCAGACATAAGGCTTAAGTGTTGGAGCTTCATAGAATCAGGATTACTAAGATTGAAGCAGATCTGAGAGATCATGTGCTCTAATCACCTCTCCCTTTCCTGTGCTTGGATCCCCTCCACAACAGTTTTCTCAGGTGTTAGCTAGCTTTTCCTTGACAATCTCCAGTGACAAAGAACTCATTACCCCATAAGCTCACTCTCTGGATATAATTGTGACACCCCAGAGTTCTTTCTGACGTTGAGATGAAGTCAGTCTTTCTATAACTTTAACACTTTGGTTATAGTTTTGTAGCCTCACTCTACAATGAAAAAGCCATTAGCTCTTCCACATGATAGCTCTTTAAAAATTTGTAATCAGACATCCAGATGGGTCAACAAGAAGAATAAACACGCCCATTTACTTATCTACTCCTCAAGATTTTCATCCTCTACCTCAGCTTAATCCTCCCCTCCAAGCCTCCTCCAAGGTTATGACATGCCTGTAAAAACGCAGCAATCAGAAATGGATACTATCTCTTGGTTGTTATCTTACCATGGCAGAGTAGAATGGAAAAGGATTTGTTTCTTTTCATCCTAATACTATGTCTACTAATACCTACATTTATTGACTTAGAGTCACATGAAACTTCTAAATTTTTCTTATAAAAAATGCTCCCAAGAGCTACATGTTTTTACAGTGAGATATTTTGGACTCCCCATAGTTCACTTTTTTTCAGATAGTTTTTTTTTCATTTGTGATTCCTATCCATATCAGTAATAGCTATATCAGATACCTGTGCTGTTAAAATGTCCATATCCAAGTGATTGAGATGTGTTGACCAAGGATAGAGTGAGTTCAAA